AAGAAGAGATCGCGACAGACATCGCAGTTCTCTGGAACGACGAAGAGAAAGAAGCTCCGACAGGTACAAGGAACACCGTAGCACATCCCGTTCTTATAGAGACAGAAGAGATGACAGGAGGTATACCTACAGGACCAATTCTTTTTGTGCCATCTTTTGCTTTATAAAACATGACTTTTAAAGATGACTGTTCTTCGCGCTCCCTCTAAATTTCACTAGTGAATTAGAGTGCGACTAAATTAGATGGAAAAGATGTATTTATACTTTTATCACCGAGTTGCTGGCGTTAGAGCTTGTTAGGCAGGGGGCGACCTCAAATTATCAGCAGCGATCCCTAATAGGAAGTGCGCACAATCCGCATTCTTAAGATAGCCGTGAATGGCATGTAGCGCGAAAAAAAGCATAAGGTTGCGGCGCTCTTTCATGAAAATCCCTACTGCAGCGCACCCATGAAGGAAGAAGGATGAGCACGTTTGTTACAAGAGGAGAAAAATTAAAGAACCTAACACAACCTTTTATAAACCCCCGGCAGAGAATCTTGAAAAAAGGGACGCCCGATTAATAGTTTAAAATAGTGTACGCTAAGATGAAGAAATCACACCCAATGAAAGGCTAGATGTTATGCACTTGGGCCTGACCGAAGAATAAGAACCCGTAAAAAAATAATGTAGTAATTCCTCACGGTAGTTGAACGCCTGTTGTCTCGCCTTTCTCTTGAGCGTCCACGATCGCTTCTGTCCCTGCGCTCGACACCGTCCCTTCGCTCTCTAGTTTCTTCACGACCTCTTCTTTCCTTGCCATTGTCCTCCTTTTCTCGACTTCGCTCGGGTAGGTTTTCTTTTTTGTCTTCTTTCCTATCAGAACCTCGATCTTTAGGAGCTTTGCTTTCGCCACGCTCCACACTTCACATCTCTATTCTTTTTATAATCTTTCTTTTCTTCCACTTGATCATAGAGTTTGTCTTCATCACCGCTATTTTCTTTACTGCGACCATGACTACACATGTCATCATCATCATCTTTCTGCCTCGCCTCAATGTCCGACTCCCCGGACAGTCTTCCTGAATCACTCAATTCTGGCTCCTCAGGGGGATTTTCCACAAAGCGTCGCTTCGCTGAAATACAGAAAATTCAAACACACAAAATTTTATAAATTCAAGTGGCAATAATAAAAAACTCACGCTCTTCTATCTTCTCCTTCTTGTGCTTCTTGTCTTTTTTATGTTTCTTTTCCTTCTTATGCTTCTTACTTTTCTTTTTTCTTTTCCGGTCTGGAAGGTATAAAAGACGTAAAATACTTTAATGAAACCTTTCATGGTTTTCCTATGGTTTCAATCTTTTATACTGACTAAAATCACTACTAAGCTGTTTGACATGTGCATACGAATAAATAAGCAGTGACCTGAAATTACTACGCTACCTTCTCTATCAGATGTATCCGATAATTCGGCAAACTTTCTCTTTCTGTTTTCCTTTAGTTCGCTTTCATCAGAGCTCGCTCTTCGGTCAACGTCAGAAAGTTCGCCCTCTTCTTGTGGAGACATTCTGACATCTGTTGCCATCTAAAAAACGAAGATAAATAATCATTAAAGCCGAATAAACATTCTACGTGAATCCATAGCACCCATAAAGCAGAATAAACACAGATGGTCGACAGATTGAATCAGAACGTTCTTAATATGCTACACTTACAACACGGCGATTGTAATTAGAGATGAGAAATGCAAAGAAGGGCAAAAACTAGTGGCTTGGCTTTGAGCGATGCAAAAGTTACGAGGATAAAGAAACACAATCCACATAAAAAAATAAATGAATTTCAGGCATTACTGCATTATTACTTTTCCTAGGGGTCATCGAGGGTTCCGATCACGAATTTGACATCCATTTTTGGCGTTGGCGCTCTTTGGCGGCCGGATGTCTAATACAGCTGTTCTCCCAGATTCGGCGTAAACTTCTACATAGTGGATATTTGGTGTCCTGATTACGTACACCCGTCTTTGGCATTCGCTCTGTTTGCCGCATATTTCCTGCTCTCCTGATCTCTCATTTATCTCCTAAGACTCATAGGGGGGGTGGAGGAGGGGGGGCGGGTGGTGAGACTCCAGAGTGGGTAAACCACGCACTGAGTGACAAAAGTACGTGTGTTAGATCATAGTGTGTGTGTCTTACTAAGGCTGCTTTCATAGTCTGCGCGTCCGCGCCGGTCGCGGGACGGCGCGGACGGCACGGACCGCAGACTATGAAAGCAGCCTAAGGAGCTCTCCACTCACCAAAGGTCTATAGTTAGTCCGCATTTCGACCTAATAGTGAGAGGGCGCAGACGAGCAGGAAATAGGCGCCGACTCGCGCCAACGACAAAAACGAGTGCCATAATCAGGGCCCAAATACTCCTATTAACAATTTTACTGCAAATCTGGTAAGATCAGTCGAGGCGCCAGCGCCAAAAGTGGATTTAATGTTCGTGAACAGAAACCTTCAGGAGAAATTTCAAGGAAAAAATATTTTGACCCATCTCACCCCTACAGGGTTCATAATAGTGCAATAGTGCTAGACTTCAAATAAGATGTTGGATTGAACAAAGTATCGATATTCTTTTGAAGCTTCTACGGTAGCGAAAAGGGGTTGAATCCAACTTGAAAGGATTGAAGCCTCGGAAAACTAGGATAGCACGGCTAATCCATTGGCTCCTGGGCGATTGGTTGTTTAGCAACGCCACGTTGCCTCTTAGCACAGATGTCGTTCTAGAAAATTCGTCTTATCCTAATCCCCTCCCGGAGATTCTCACAAATTCAACATGCGAAAGCAAAGAAGTGCTTGACTGGGACGCATCATGGGAACTTCCTGCGTGAAGCTTTCCGTTTTGTTCTGAGCACTCAGCGCTTGTACCGCAGGTATAAGGTCCACTATTTGTTGTCTGAGCTCTACATCAGTTGGCCTGTCAACATATTATTTCCAAGGTGACGTTCTCATTTTTGCAAAAGTAAATCTTCTGCTGTGATAGGTGACGAAAATACTACCCACAATAATGCAAAAGTGACCCTGTACAACTCGGCCTTTCATTCGAACGTCCCAAGCATAGTTTTCCAATTGAGAGAAAACATGTGGCTTATCGAGAAAAATTCTGAGAATGAGTAAAAATACACTGACGCGATTGGACTACTAACCGCATCGGAACTGGTTGCATTACTAACAGGTCGTATTGAAACTGGTTTTCCACTCAGTATAGCGCAATAGGAACTCGCACATTGAATACAAATGCTGTTGCAGTGTCGCGAATGAATGTAAATTGACTGAAAAAAAAAGATTTCGAAAGTTTTGAGCAGCATTATGTAAAACCTCAATGGTGATAGGTACGGATGCTGCTCAAACTTGATATGGCTGGTGTCAGAGTCCGCGATTTTTGCGCGATTTTCGCGATTTGCGCGACGGTCACGGAAATCTCAAGTGCCTCATTCAATACTGCAAGGTGTTCTCTTCCACTTGCTTCATATTCAGTGTTTCAATTGTTCAAATGGGCCACTTGCAATTTTTGTGATCCGCGCGATCTCATGGTCATCCTCATGGTCAGTTCAGAATAGATGCAGTTCCGTCCCTGAACGAATGAGCATTTCAATGAATAATAGACATAACATTAAACGAGTAGAATCACGGGCAGTCTTCCTTCAATTTCCAGGATTAAACAGCACCTCGCAGTATTCATCGGGGCACCTCCAACTCCTGTGACCCATCGCAGGTTTCGCAAAAATCGCGCAAATCGCGAAATCGCGCAAATCGAATCGCGGACTCTGACACGCCGATGTCTTTCGTTAAGCGACTGTCTATGAGGCTTAATAATACAGAAATACTATCTTCATGATTAGGGCAATCTGTACTCTAAAAAGTTCAAAGTCCAAAAGTAAATGATAATTTGGATGCTAACATCGTACTTCTAAATACGTTGTGCAGGTTTAAGCGACAATGCTCAGCAGGTCGAAACAGAAGAAGACATTCCTAGAAACATGCGATTCTTAGGCGAAGACCGTGTCGCGATAATACATTGGCAGTACAAGGAATTGATGCCTGCAATCACTACATGTAATCTTGTCGTCAGATTCGGTCCTCTAAAGCCAATGTGTTTGGACTGTTGTTTAGCAACAGCGGAGCGAAAGTCAGAGTGTTCACACCAATCTAACTGTCGTCTCAAGACAGGCGTCGTAATCCAAACTTTCATTGGGGTGTGCGCGGGCTATCTGCCGTAAGTTTACGTTAGTTGCCCTCAGATCACTTTGCAAGGTCCTAGCGCCATTGACGCGCACTTTCGAGTCGCCGACAAAAAATTAAAAGCTGGTCATATTCGTAGGCTAACGGGTCCCATACGATGAGGTTTTGTCAAACAACTGGTTGGGAAGTGACTGTTTAATTTTTTCAGCCCTTCAAAAATTTTATTTTTATTTATTTATTTTATTTATCTTTGCACTCATTGGTGCGCTGTGACAACAACAGAAAGGGTTAGTTCTGATAGACTGGTCAAGAACAAAAAGAGAACTAAAATACTGAGTAAATCTTTGAAAATAAGCCTAGATTCAAAAAGTTCCCAGAGTCTGTGGGCCGACGGCGCTGTGGGAACCGATGAAACCGTTCAAAGCACAAAAAACAGCTCAGCACTCACTAGCTAGCCATCAAATGTAGTGGTGGAGAAGATCTCAATATGTGGAATAGCGCCTATGCTTATCAGGTAACCTGGACGTCAAAAACGGTAAGTGCAGGTCAGTCTAGGCAACGCAACCAACCGAAGTTGTACCGGGCGGGCCAAAGTAGATGCCGGGGGATGCTACACAGCAGCAGACTGATTTTGGTGGGGGCGAACGCACGTAAGGCAGGAAAAGGTGTGCGAGTCACAGTAATCCCTCATTTACGACATTACTCAAGTATTTCTATTCAACCGTTTTTGCTTTGCTATATAAATTATCAAGAGCAACCGAACTTGATCAGCAGAAACTCCACGATTAACATGTTCGCTTCACAGCAGGAGAAAGCTCCCAAAAAACTTTTGCTGTTTTGTGGACGCCAAAAAGTATGAAATTGCTATGTGGCGCAGCAATAGGAAAAGTAGAACTTTAACGAGTTCTATTCTGTTTCCCGAAGGGGACCTGTCGTAATTACAGATTCAAAGCGCACATGGTGATGACCTCTAGGAATTGATATGGCTTTTGATGCTCTTAGTTCCACTATGTCTAACTAAATCCGCAATTACAACGTGTCTACGGTAAAAAAAAACAAAGATAAATAAGATGAGCAAAGTAAAAGTTGTGGTAACAAGAACCACAAATCAGTAGTTTCTGCTGAAAGTCAAGATTAAAAGGGAGTTAGCTAGCAATGAAGCTTTGCTATGAAACCCCGAAGAGAGAATATTAAGGAAAACGATTCGAGGAAGCTAATGAGTGGATGGAAATTGGCTTGAAAACCTCATTAGTACTTGTGCAGCACTTGGCAGTGAACAGATTGCAAGCACTCGATTGCGCCGGCGCATCGCTCTTCCAGCTTTTTGCCTCTCTTAAGCGGTGCATAACAGTAGCCTACTGAAGATGAAATCGATGACAAAATGCAGAAAATAACACGTTGCTTATGCGAGATTTACGAATATAACAGCATCATATGAACCCTGGTAAAGGAATGTGTAAGAGTCCTGAATGCATACTAGGCCCTACTCCATGCCAAAGGAAGGAATGGCTGGATGGACGATGAATAGGATGACTACAACTTAAACAACGAAGTATGAAGAAAACACAATGTATCTAAAAAATCGTTCACCGTCCTGTCTTTATTAAAGTTCCGTTATCGGCG